TGGGTTTTTCTTTCTAGGGACAGGGTCCCCTCGTGGGTCTACCCGCTGATGAGAATGGCGGTGGAAAAGCTGGAGCGCACCCTCCAGCAACCCTACCTGGACGAGATCCGCGGCATGTGCAAAGTCCTGAACCTCACCTTGGACGACTGCGTGCTCTGCAATCTGGCTTATGAGTCCTCAGCGTGAGTGGCCCACACTTGCACGGATGATTCACGTGCCGCTTGCCGGGGAGACCGCTTGCATGTTGTCAGGGCGATAAGAACAGGGTAGTGCCTTAAAAGACACACTGCCGACTCACAGAGACCCTGTAAGACAGGGTAGAACTGCCCCTGTTGAGTTTCCAAGACTGCAACTCTGTATGGCAGTAGAAAGCCTCATCCAACCCTTTCGAGTGCCTGGTGGTTTTGAACTGCTGACCTTGCAGTCAGAAGCCCAGCTCATAAACCACTATGCCACCAGGGGTCCTTTAAAAAAGTTTTTTTAAATCGATAAATATGTGTGACTAATTACTTGTTGCTTTCTGAACAAATCCAAACTTATCATGGCAAAGAAGTATTATATAACCTGGCCTTGCCTCTTAGCTTTTGCTCCTATACCCAGGGCCAGGATACGCTGGGAGCCCATGTGCATCTTTTAAGCTCTGGGTACAAAAAGCCCATCATTTCTCCTGCAGAGCAGCTGGCAGTTTCGAACTGCTGACCTAGCAGTTGGCAGCCCATTGCCTGACCCTACATCACCGGGGCTCCTCTGGGTAGTCTCTTGGGTGCCCAGGACCTTCAATACTTCCTCTTGGCTTTTCTCCAGTAAATCTGAGTAGCAGACGTTGGCTTGGAGAGGGACAGTGGAATCTCTGATCTTAACACTGAGGCTCCTCTCCCTGAGGCTTCCTTTTCTCTCTCCACCAATCCAGGGAGCCCTCTCGTTTTACAACTTTCCTGGCAGTGCATTTCCCCAGGAAAGAACCAGGCACTCATCGCCAGAGACCCTCCAGCTTTACAAACTCAGGGGGTGTGGTGACACGTACCTGTCCCCCTGCCTGTATCCTTACCTGGTTTTTATAGCACGAGGGACAGCCCTGGTAGTACAGTGGGTGGCACCTTGGGTGGCTAACCCCGAGGTCAGCGATACGAACCCACATGGATGGGGCTTTCTGCTCCTGGAAAGACTGACAGCCTGAGAGCCTCAGCGGCAGTGCGCCTCCGTTCTATAGGGCGGCCGTGCGTTGAGATTGATTTGGTGGCAGCGAGTTTGGGTTTTGAGTTTTGAGGGGCATGGGACCAGCCAGTGATAGGTCTCGCGGGTGGACATGATAGCATGCACCCAGAGTGAGATGTGGTTGGTCCCTGCAGAGTACCGGGCAGCCTTACAGGGTTGCTTTCTCAGTAGCTGCTAAGGGCAAGGGGCTGGTTTGGAGCCCACCACTGCTCAGAGGGAGAAGGTGTGGCAGTCGGCTTCCA